ATTTCCTGTTTTTTGTCTTTCTCTCTTTCTTTCTTTCTTCCTCACTATCTCTATGTCTGTTATCTGTCTATCTTATCGTATATTCTCCATACTCTCTCTCTCTTTTCTCACTCTCTCTCTCTTACTCAAATCACTCACTCTCACTTCTCTCTCTCTCTTCTCTCTTCCTCTCTCTCATTCTCTCTCTTCTCTCTCTCTCATTCTCTCTCTCTCTCTCTCTTCTTCTCTCTCTCTCTCCCTTTCCTCCCTTTCTCTCTCTTTCTCTTTCTCTTCCTTTCCTAATTTTTCTCCTTCTTCAACTCCTTTTCGTTCACTCTCCTCCTTCCTTCTCCTTCCTCCTTCACCCGCTCCTCTTCTTCGCCTCTCGCTCATCCTCTCTTATCCTCTTTTACTTCTTTAAAGGGTGATTATGAGACTGAAAGAAACGGGTTTTGCTGAGAAAATTAACATTGACGTGAATAGAATTGTTAGCAGAATAAGATGAATGACGGGGGCCTAATGAAACAGGATAAGTGAAACGTGAAAAAATACATAATGTTGAAAGATAGATAAAATAAAAAAGCTAGAGATGGAAACTCTGGTATGGATGTGGAATCGTTTGTGAGGATGGTTTATGTATGTAGTATGTAGGTGGCGTGGGTTGAGGATGTGTTTTATTGTATGTGTATGTATATAACTTCTTAGCTAAAACATGTTGAATAAAGTTTATTGTTTTAAGTATTGTTTCCTGATTTTCTCCTTTCTTCCTTCATTTCATCCTCCTGTTTTATTTAGTTTTTCGGCTTTCTCCGCTATATACATTCGTCCTATGTTCACTTCTCTCTCCACCTTACCAGTGTCCTTGCCTCAACCTGTCTATGTTTTTTTTTATTCGCTTTTTCTATTTTTCCTCCTCTGTCTTTTTCCTCCGCCCCGAGCATTGCACTTTCCTCTCTTCCTATTCCCATTTCCATCCTTCGCCCAATCCTAGCTATGTCCTTCCCTCACCTTACGCCATGGATTTTCTCCTCTCCCGAACTATCATGTCTTCTCGGTCGCCTTTGGCTATGTCCTTACCCCCCTTCTAACACATATCTTCCCCTTAATCCCTATCCTCTACTCCACTTATCATGAACTTCGCCATCTCAGCCCGCATATTTTCAAATCCCCCATTATCTTCCCTCCTCACCTTAACCACATCTTCCCCACACTTGTGCCGCCTACCTCAACCATCCCCTTTCCCCCACCTTCCCACCTCCGTCTCTCGGCCGCAAGTGTTCTCTCAGGCAGCCCCGGGGATATTGACATAAGCCGAGGACATGAGTGGCTTAGCGCGATGCATGATAAACAATTAATTCGAAAAGGAAAGCGCCGTGTTGGCTGTTACGGCGAGCCAAGCCAAGCCCCCCAAGTCCCCTCGAGCAGCACGCGACCCGAAGCCTCGCCTGCAATTTCAACTACGCGGGAAGTTGCAGCGGATTATGGGGGATTTGGTGGATTGCGCGGGATTGCGGCGGGGGGGGGGGGGTGAGAGGGAGGGGGTGGGTGAAGGAGGAAGGGGAGAGGGAAGGCGGGGGTAGGGAGGGGATAGAGGAGAGGGGTGGGTGGAAGGGGGTGGTGGAAGAAGGGAGGGAGAGGGAAAGGGGGCGGGTAGGGGAAGGAGAGGGGGTGAGAGAAGGGGGGGTGGACAGGGAGGGGAGCAGGAGAGGGAAGTGGCAGGTGGGGGGGGATAAGGTGTAGAGTGGGTGGAAGGAGGAGGGGAGAGGGAAGGCGGCGGGTAAGAGGGGGTGGGGGAAGGCGATTGCACGGGCCTTGCTGCTCTTTGAAGGCGGTCGCCAGAGGTGCCAGGAGCAGGGAGGAGAAGGGGAGGAAGAGAGAGAAGAAATAGAGAGAGGAGAGAAAGAAAGTGAGAAAGAGAGAGGGAGAGGGAAAGGGGGATTGAGAATGCGAGAAGAAAAGGAAAAGGTAAAGAGAAAGAGAGGAGACGAGAAGGAGAGTGCAAATTGTGAGGAAAGAATAGGTAAAGGAGGAGAGAGAGAGAGAGAGAGACGAAAAAGGAAGAAATTGGAAAGAGAAGTGTGAGAAGAGGGAGGGGTAAAGGAGCGGAAGAGTGAGCCAAGGAGAAACGGGAGAGAGGAGAGAGGAGGAGAGGAAAAGTGAACAAGAGAGGGAGAATGTTAAGAGAAGAGTGAAAAAGAAGCCTTAGGAAGGGGAGAGGGAAGAAAGAATCATAGAGTTCAGAAATGCGAGAAGAGAATAGTGGAGGGGAGGGGGAGAGGGAGAGAGGGAGGGGGAGGGGGAGGGAGGAGGGGGGAGGGGAGGAGCGGAAGAGAGGGAGAGAGGAAGAGAAAGAGAGAGAGGAGGGAGAGAGAGGAAGAAGAAGGTGAAAGAGAGAGAGGAGAGATGGTGAGAAGAGAAAGAGGACGAGGAGAGGAGGGGTGCGTGAGAGACGTTCTGGTGCGTGATCCTGCAGCAGATAAATTGCTCAGACGTTGCAAGGGGAAGCCTGGTGAGAGGGTAATTCGAGGGCCGTGCAACATTACGCTCTCTTGTCTTTTCGTGTTCTTGGGGAGGGGGGTGGGGAGGGGGGCTAATCTTCTCATCTAGTTTTTCTCTCTGTCTCTGTTGTATCTCTGCCCCTCTGTATCATAAGGATATTTGTCCGTTTAATAAAGAATTATATATATTAATATATATTATATATATATATTATATATATTATATATATATCATAATATATATGATATATGTTATATATTATAATATATATATTATATATTCTTTCTATATAATAATTATATACGTCTTCTATATAATCATATAGACTATATAATTATATATTTATTATTTATATATTATATATCATATTGATATTTATATATATATTATTATATATATATTATATTATATATTATAATAGTAATATTATTATATATATATTTATATTATATATAATTGTCTTCTCTCTCTCTCTCTCTCTCTCTCTCTCTCTCTCTCTCTCTCTCTCTCTCTCTCATCTCTCCTCTCTCTCTCTCTCTCTCTTCTCTCCTCTCTTTCTCTTCTCTCTCTCTCTCTCGTCTCTTCCTCCTCTCTCTCTCTCTCTCTCTTCTCTCCTCTCTCTTCTTTCTCTCTCTCTCTCTCTCTTCTCTCTCTTCTCCTCTCTCTCTCTTCCGTGTCTCGCTTCTCTCTCTCTCTTCTCTCTCTCCCCGCCTCTCTCTCCCCTTCCTTCCTCTCTCGCTCTCTCTCTCTTCTCTCCTCCGCTCGGCCGCTCTCTCTCTTCTCCTCCCTTCTCTCACCTCTGCTCTCTCTCCCTCTCTCCCCCCTCTTCTCCCTCTCCTCTCCTCTCGTCTCCTCTCTCCCTCTTTCTCTCTCTCTCTATCTATCTATCTATCTATCTATCTATCTTTTTCCCATCGCGTAGGGCATACCAGTGCATTATTCAATATCAACAGCATACATTTTTTGGGGGGTGACTACACCACATTCACACCATACCTGCAAGTCTCATAATCACATTCAGTATCTACTCAGTTGCACGGAAACTGCATCGCTTTGCTCATATAGCACTGTCCAGAGAATAACACTTGTTGCTTGTATTTGTTTCTTATTGACACAGTGATGTACAGTGTGTTTACCGACCGATGGAGCATGTAAAGCTGTAAGGACTATGAGTACATCCCTCCGAGGCATCTGTAAGTAGTGTGTGACTGATGGCCTTATACAGTGAAAGGAATTTGGGTAAATTGCATTGACACCTTTCTCTGTTTTTTTATACAAGGCATGTGCGCTGTTCTGCAAGTAGCTTTTTTCAAGTCGAATCTCTCTGCTCTCTCTCTCTTCTCTTCTCTCTCTCTATCTATCTATCTATCTATCTATCTATCTATCTATCTATCTATCTATCTATCTATCTATC